GTAACTGCCCCTTGTCATTAATCTAGTAATACCTCATTTTTCACAGATAATCACACCTCATTCTCATACTTTGTAAGATATGCCATTTATATACCACCCACCCCATCAGTATTGCTTTAGGTAGCATTCCCCATATAAGTCAAGTTTACAGCTTGTAAATTCAGTGCCTTACCAAACGCATTTAAATTAGCAGCCAAGTCTGCTCTCTTGGTGCCAAGAACGGTCTGCATGAAATGCTACTAATCATTGGTTTCACAGTAAAGATCTTTTAAGAGCTGCACAGCCCTGTATGCTCATAAGAAACGAAAGACAGAAACAAGGGAATGGCTCTATGGTAGAGGAGCAGGGCAGTGTGTGTGGGAAATCAGGCGGACATATTGAGGGTGCTGTAGAAGGAGAGGAATGAAGCCTAGGTAAAAATGCCTATTGTGTCCTTGGAGCCCAGTGGAGGAAGGAGAGTTTGGCAGGATTTCGAATGAGAAAAATACAACTCCCTGGATGTGTGCCCATGCGTGAGCAGGTGACCAGGAAGCCAGAACTCAAACTACTTCTCAGGCTGCTGGAGATTGAGGAGGAACAAAAGTGGCTTCTCTGTCAGGCAGGAGGGAGTAGGCAAGCAGCTGAGGAGGGCTGCCAGAACCCAAACTACTCCATGGTAAGTTAGAGAATGGAGGGGGGGTAGGGAAAATGGGACAGTGAGGAAGAGTGGCTTTGAGGGCTTTCAGAGAGCAGGGACATTGCAAGGGAAGGACAATGGATGACATCTGCTTCTTGGGCAGGCAAAGCAAGCAATGTGCTATTCGCAGATGGACAGCCAAACCACAAGAGGGAATGGTAAGGTTGCAACTTTTATTTGAAAACTAAATCTGGAGAGGCCCTGATCTGCCAAGTGGCAAGGCAGGGGTTGGAAAATTTTCAGTCTGGAGCCAGGAAAGTATTGCAGATGGCCTTTTTCCTGCAAAGGCTCCTGGGATGCCTGGTAAGAGTGAGTTGGAAACAAGGCACACAAACCTCAGAGAGACTGCCCTTTCATTGGCATTATCATGGGTTATTCCATGAACAACCAGCCCACTTCAGTTCATTCTTAGGGCGGCTTAGCCTCATGAGCAAACCTGCCTTCTGTGTCATGGAGGGTGGCTGTTTGAGAAACACATATCTAAAAGTTTCAGTGGGCATACAAAACGAAGTCACACGATTCTCTGAGATCTCAAGTAATGAACTACTGTTTGCAGTGTTAATCAGCAGCATAACAGATCAATCCTAGGAACTTCACTGTGTTCCATGGGACTTACCCTGAGGTGAAGACATATAAGATGAAGCCTAAATTTATTGTTTGTTAATATGTCTTCCTGAAAGCAAAGACTTTTTTTAATCCATTGAAGCTTTAAATTTAGCATCTGCATGCCTCAGCAACTTTGATATATGGAGCCAATTATATGTTCCTTACCATTTTTTCTCATCATTTTTGATTTCATAGATTTACTTCCATGGAAGTGACAGAAGACTTTTGGCTTGCAAGAAAACCATACAGAATGTTGTTTCAAATTCAGGCTAAATTAAACCTGATGGAGCAGCCACGCTTTGTTATGCCTAAGTGTGCCTTGTTCAGGTGTAAAGTAGAAGGTCAGAGGTCTACTTTTTGTAATAAAAGGTGTGTCTGTGTGGGCAAGGCAAGCAGAACTTTCTTCCACCTTATCTCATGCCACTCCATTGCTTTAAGCATGTTCCTTATCAGCCCACCTTATTTCTGTAATGGAATTTACTGGGGAGAAAAGTGCTTCTCCTCAGGGAAGGGAAGTCTTGGAGAGGGAAGGTTCAGCTCCCCTTTCCTGCACTAACCTTTGGCTTAATCATTAGACCCCTCCCCCGCTTCCTCTGTTTTATACCAGAGTGAAGCAGACACATGAAATAAGGATCCACAGCTGCACCCAGCATGGCTGCTCTGGGCTATAATTTGCTGGAACAATGTCAGTACATGTTGAAATTAGTGAAGCTCTTCTTTGACTGCAGTCCTATGAGTAAGCAGCAATACCTGGAAGTAAGCCTCATTAATACATTGGCTCTTACTTCTGAATAAATGCACATAGGATTGAGCTACTTGATATACTGAACTCTACACAGTTGGCCTAATTTATTTACAGGTCATGGCAGATGTTTGTTTTATGCTTTTGTAGACTGTCACAATAGCCACATGGCTCTCTGGATGGTTTACACAATTAAAACCATCAACAAACATTAAAAAATGACATAATAGCCGATTCAATAATAAAACATCAACAGCAATAAAACAGCCATTCCAACAGCAGGAGCACCTGCTGTCGACATCATACATTAACAGATTGGACAACACCTTTAAAATAACAATTAAAATATTAAAATGCATCCATTAAAATAGCAACCTAAAATTAACATTCAGTTAAAGTTAAAACTATCAACAATTATACTCCATGTATTAAAAAGTTTTATAAAATATAAAAGTATACTTTTTATTTAAAGAGTTGGGTAGCTGAGATCGTAACCATTCAGGAAAGGGAAGCCACGAATTTCAGAGCAATCTGTGAACAATGCAGATAAGTGGATATATGCCACTTTGTATACACCAAGAGCATATATGCTCTAAAATGCACTTCTAATTCTTTTGTGGCATACTTGTTTATTGCAAAAGGAAGACAAAACCATGTAAAGGTGCTATACAAGACTATTTTTAGAAAATGTCCTGAGTCACATCCTCTATAGACAGAAAGTAAGTGAAAAATAGAATCATCTGTCTCTGGAAAGTTTTGAAAGAACATGCTTGGGAAGTTTGAAAAGTGCCATGCCTTTTAATTTATTTTTAGGCCACCTTTAAGGCTTGAATTCTCCTGAGGCATAAAAAGAACAATAAAAGCAGCAAGAATTAAAATAGAAATTACAAATAAAAGTAGTAGCCCATTAATTCAGAAATAACCAGTGAGAACAACTGGCACTTCCTGAAGACCTGCAAAGAAGGGTCCTGATGACCTTGCAATGGAAGCTCATTCTGGAGATGCAGGGCCAACACCTAAAAGATCCTTTCCCTGCTATTCACCATCCTAAGCACACTTCACAGCAAGCAAATGAGAAGGGCTCCTGGCATGTGAGCAGATTAGCCCAGGTGAAGGTGGTCCTTCAAATATCTTGGGCTTAAGCTGTTTAAAGTTTCAGGACTTAAAATAAGCACTTTAAATTGAGCTTGAATATACTGCAGCAGCCAGTGCAACTGACACAGCATTGGTGTCACATGAACTAACCGCCCCACAAATATCCGGGCAGCTGCATTTTGTACCAGCTGATGCTAGTAAACTACCTTTAAAAGTTGACCTATACAATGGGGATTGCAGTAGACTTGCACAGGTATCAGCAGAGCAGCAAAAAACTGATGCAAGAGCACCCTTTTGTAGCTAAGGTTGCAGATGGTTTACCCACCTACATTGGCAAAATGTACTTCCTTAGTTAGTACTAAGTCTAGGAGTATTCCCAAACTGCATACTTTTCAAATTTTCTATAACACTTTTCCTTTCATTTTCCCCCAGTGATTGGTACAGCTCTGTTTCTAGAATATTTTTTGCTACCAGTAAAAAGCTTTCATGAAATAGTCCTTTGTGTATAAATCTTGTAGGTAGTTGCCATTAATGATCAAAGTACTGTGGCTTTCAAATCCTGGGTAACTAAAATGGACAATAAAAATCATATCAATTCATCTGCTACAATAATGATGGTACTTGAACCAAATCATTTGATGGACTCCTGCTCCTAATGAAGCAGGTTCTAGTCTGTTAAAGCTTGACTTGGACTTTGAGTTACAGAGATACAGCAGTCACACTAAGCCATCCTGTGAAAAAGCCTACATGGGTTGGTTGTTTGCAGAATAACCAGTGATCTTCCCAACAGAGGACGGCTTGTTCTCCCTGTCATTCAACTTAGTTCTCCAAAAGGTATCCCAGGCACTTGTGCAACAGAACTTGTCATTGACTCAGTCCCAATGCCAGCACCTTTGCTTTGGTTTGTTGGCTACTAGAGAACCTGTCCAACCGATAGCAGGTCACCAAATGGAATTAATTTGCTAAGTCCATAGGAATGAAGTACTATTACTGCCACTTTTTTAAAGGGTCTTTCACTGTTATGCAAGGATACAGCTTTGCTCTCTGATATTTAGCCAAGCATCCTTACATTTCCCTCTCTCACTTTCACACTGCTAGCTGAAAAATACCATTCCAAAAAAGATCTGCTTCATGTTACCATAAAATAAGCACAATAATTCCTCAAATTGCTCCAACTCTCTAATATTTAGCCAAGCATCTTCATATTCCTCTGCTAGCTAGCAAATATGGATTTTTAAAAAGCTGTTTCATGTTGCAGTAAAGAAAGCACCCCTGATTTTTTTTAAGCAGTTGCAGATCCCTTTAGGACACCTCCAGTGTCCTTTCTTCATGATTGTTGGGGCATCAGGCAGAGGGATGAGGGATGAGGGAGGGAAGCCAGCATAAGCAACAGTGCAAGGGGCTTTGCTTTCTGGTCAGGTGGCCCTCTAGCTATTTTTGGAAACCCAAGATAAAATTGCCCTGATAAGTTTGCAAGACATGGGGAGACACCATGGGCATTGCTAGTTAAGTTGTGTCCAACCCATTGCGGCCCCATGGACAACATTCCTCCAGGCCTTCCTGTCCTCCACCATCCCCTGGAGTCCACTTAAGATCACGCCGACTGATCCAGTGACTCCATCTAGCCACCTCATTCTCTGCTGTCCTCTTCTTTTGACGTCAAACCATGGGTATTAGCCACCCTAAAACAAGCCACAGGTTCTCAGGATAGCTTGTTCTAGAAAAATAACCCATCATGCAAGAAGTGCACTAGGTTTGCACAACTGAACAACCTACTGTGGCTGATCACCCATGGTGGATTGTCATGTTGTATGAACTAGGTTATATATGAGTGTGCACACACACACACACACAGAATTACAATCAAACAAGCTTCCTGACCTTCATGGATGTGTCCAAAAACATGAAGGCGTGGTTGTATTCGTCTCTGGACTGTATTCAGCAATTCAACACACCCCACTCTTTGCATTTTCTTGGGGACCCAATCTAGAAAACCTTTAAAATAAAGAAAGACAATATGAAAGAAGAGCAAAGAAATGTATTGTTTCAGGAATTTCATACCCTGATTTTTTAAAAACATATTGATGAATGCTTCTTCTAACTTTTAAGAAAGTTATGCAGAATTACCTTTAAAAGCATATGTATTCATTGACCAGTATAAAGAAATGAATAATATTTAAATAATGTGGAACAATCAACTATGCAAACAAAAGGGATTTGAGCTAATTTTGCCAATGGCAGCCATTCAAGAGAAAGATCTGCATGTGTATTGGTATGAGTGTGAATTCTTTGTAATGCTTTTTTAAACATATAACCAACTATTTTGTTAATTAATATTAGGAAAATATCATGATCAATACCAGTTATAGTTTTATCATCTTAAAAACAGGGATGGGAGGACAATTCAGTTTGTTTGGATTTTAACACAAAAGAATCTAATTCACACTTTGTGAATTATGAACTGGAAAGCAAACATCTTTCAGTTTTATGATGCAGTTCTTATCAAAAATGCATACATTATATGCACATTAGAGAGAAATGTGTACATTGGAGAACTTGCATACAGAAAGGAATAGTGCTTGCATAACAATGTATATTAGGGGACATGAGCATGAAAATGTGCACAAATTTTCATGTGAACTTAGAAATACAAACTGATGCAGAGTTGAGAAGGTACACATCTGTGCTTGTAAAATACAGATATTATAGAAAGTGAAACAGACAGATTCAGTCATTCCAACTTCACATATAGGCTGCCAAACTGCATTCAAGTTTCAGTCTTGCTGTAATAAATGTGACATCAACTACAATATTTCAGCCATGTTTGCCATTATCAAGTTTTCACATAGAGTAGAAAAAAAATTAAATGAGGATTTGGAGGAATCATAAGTCTAATCTATTACATTTTAAATGGTATTTACTGATAATATGTGTGCTGAGGCTATGTATTTTTTTTCTTTAATTAAAATGTTTTCACAAAACAGGTGAGAAAAATGAAAGCATTTGGAGAAAATCTTTTGTAGCCATTCTCTTTTACCATCAGAACAAAAGTGCTAAACAACGCAGGGGCATGCTATGCCTTAAGAAGAAACTGATTAATTTAATTTGGATTTTTATAGTTTCAGAGTTAACAGTCTGATATGCTATAGTGAGGCTTTGGTAGTTCCCAGTTGAGATTAGAAAATAATTCTCTTTGATTCCTCTCCTCCCCCTCTCCCCTCATCGCATTATTAACAGGAACAGACCTGTTAGCTAGGATAGTTTGGATTGTGTCCTTTTGGTAAAAGCCAGATGGCCTTCTACAGAATACCACATATATAGAACAATGAGCAGTGGAACACAACTGTAAGCACTGTGCTGGATCAGGCCAAACATATATCTGGTGTAGCACTACGGTCACACAGCGGTCAACCAGCTATCCATGGGATCCGACCAGCAAGATGGCACTCCCTCTGCTACTGGATCCCATCTGCCCATTACACTTATCGTGCACCCGGTTTCTTTTCCAAGATCAACAGAAATAACATGTATCCCTGCCAATAACTCCCAACAACATTTTAGTCCTCAAGATAGATATAGAATCTCATACTTTTTTAAGGGTTTTGTTAGGTATGTGGCATTCACCTGAAGACTATGAGCAGACAAAGTTGTAGAGTGAGAAGTTTTGAAGGAATTCAGATAGTTACAGTAAATCCTTCTATGCTGCACTCAGAACTGCTACTGTGTCTTTTGGACTGGGAGCTGCAGCTAATTCTCACAGTCAGATAACTGTATTTGTATAAAACTCATGTATCCAAATATACACACGCCTCATTCATACATTATATGACCTAAAATAAAGGCACAGTTTGCAGATAAAAATAGCCAGAATTGTTGTGAATACTGACTTATTGTTGGTAAGCGAGATGCTTGAGTGTTGCCCAGCTTGCTTGGATTCTGCCTGATTTGTGCAAGCCAATTCTTAAATCCAGCTTCAATTCACAACAATCCTGGATTATCATAAAGTGCAATCTGGCTTTTACATTGTGGGTCCCGGCTTCCATCATTGGCTGTATCTAAATACTGATCTAGATGTTTGTTCATTTTAAACACAGGTGTGTGTGATGTCAGCATAGGTCTGATGTTGTGGAGCAGCTTCAGCTGTTATGACCCAAGACCTGGACAAGGCATTTGTTCAGTTGACCTTTTGAAAAGTACATTTTGTCAGGGCTGTCTTCATGGTGTCAGGAACTGGCCTGCAGAGTCACGCCACTTGCCAAATAACTGGCAGCTGAGGTTGCAGTACAGAATCGGACTGTTTATTCACACCTATTGAACAGTTCTCACTGAACTCTGCTTCTCCAGACAAAGAGCAATCAGCAAGAAAAGGAAAGTGTGCGGGGGTGGGGGGGATATCTGAGCAGCACACAGTGGGTGCTTCTAGCTGAAGCTTTCATAGTGCCATTTGTCCTGTTGTATTTGCAGAATGTTAAGGGCAGTTCAAAAGACAAGCACTTCCATCCTTAACATTCTAGTGTTTCTCACTGAATCTTTTGCCTATCCATTAAGGAAAAAAAGACAGAAGTGTTGCATGATGCCTTCTAATTTATAGAGCTAGGAGCCCTCCAACTGGAAGCACCCAAAATCCAAATGTTGCTGTTCCAGTGGCTGGAAATAGTTAATTGTAAATAAAACTGAACATAAAGGCAAAAAATATTTCCACTTCAAAAACTTTGCAAACTAAAATCCATGAAATTAACTTCTCCATTAAATTAAGCATTATTTATGTTGAGCATGTTTTTGTTTGCATGCAATATCAGCCTTCTGAAGCTTTTCCATATGTTTGCAGCTTATTATGTACACCTGACTACACAAACTAAGAATAATTGATTACACCTAGCTAACAATTAGAGATTGCTTTAGATCCCTCCCAGCTCCCCCCCACTCACTCTAACACACACACACACACACACACACACACACACACACACGAATGTACCCTCCCCCCCACCACCACCAAAAAAAAAGCTTGGTTATTTGAAAAAAGAAATCTGTGACTGGCAGGAAAGTATAAATCTTTGTCACCAATGATCAAGCAGACTGGTTCTGATAAAGACTTTAAAGAAATGCAAGCTTGTTTAAAATAATTTTTAAAAGATGAGAGTAGTTTTTTCTAGAGGAAATAAAGCATTTTTAATTTAGTCCTTGTAAATGAGAGATAGTTATAGAGATGTCTTACTGAGAAAAACTGGGAATGGTAGCACTTTTTGTGCCTAAACATTCATAGGATTACACCCTTTTTCATATTCTGTTCCAATCTGACCACAGGGATTATGTTAGTTAACCATATACTTACAACTAAAATAAAATATCATGATAAAAATATGTGATCTCCCCAGCAAAATATCAGTGTATTGTTGTTACCTTGTTACCTCTTTAATTCCAGTAAGACATAGTTGCAAATAGGTCAGAGTTAACTTTGTCAGAACTGGGAATCCCTGAAGAATTGCTTTATTGGGAATTCTTATACAAAGTGCCTCCTTGACTAACATGTGGATCAGAACTGAACGATCCACTGCTTTTGGTACTTCCTACATTTTTGAACACATTTCCCAGTTCAGAAATGAATCAATAAATATTTTAAAATGCATATTTTGAGGAAAAATAAATTTAGAAATGTTTGAGATAAGAAGTATGTGTTTTAAGAGAACATTTAGAAATATACTATTTCAATACCATTAAAATGAGATTTTTAAAGTGGATTATAAAAAAACTCTAACCCTAACATGAAAATGAGACAGGGTAGATCTATGGGTGAAAACATGCAAAAGTGATATGGGCCAGAAATATTTGATCTGTCAACCTCCAGGGAGCACCAAATTGACAAATGAAACATGCATGTTCGCATGATAATGACAGGGTATGTATCATTAAAACTACAATATCCACAAAGCAGAATGAAATTGCTTGAGTAGCATTAGAACAGCCTAAATCTCTATTACAACCAACCACTCTATCACAACCTGATACTCAGATTTAATCAGAGCACCCTTAAGACTCAAATTCCATGATCTAACAACATAGGGTTTTTCTATCTGCTGCCCTTCATCTACTTTCAGTTTTATTGCAGTTGAGATCTAAGCACTAGATGAGGAATGTTTCCTTTCCTGTTATCCTGCTACATAACTTCTACATGGCATTATGGTAGAATGGAATAGTACAAATACACAAAAGGAAATTGTGTTTTCTTTTGCCATCAGAAATAACACTCCATTTTTCCTGTTGTAACGCAACACAGCACAACTCTCATGGAAAGTGCTGTTTACAAATAGAAGTGAACTTGAGGATCATGCTATCATCTAGAAGAACACATCAACAACTTTTAGGGAAAGACAAATGGACAATAAGTGACTGATGTAGAAAAGCTACCATCCTTAGGGTCCAAATTTTCAGCAAATTGCATAAACTCTAAATATCTCCAATACTGATTAATAATAATTGTTTCTGAATATCTGAAAAGTACCTTTCCTTGAAGTATCCACAGGAGTCTAGCATCAGGGGTGGGGGTGACTACTTCTCTGTTGAGAGGCATTTATCCCCCAATACCCCCTTTTGGCTCTATCTATGTTCTTCTGAAAGATGTTCACCTCTAAAAGATGTTCAGAATTAGGCTGAAAGAGTTTCAGGAAAACAACACTAAGAACAACAACACACACACAGAGCACCAGAACCAGAAATGCTGCAACGAGGATGCAAAAACAATTCTGAGATACTCTTTCCACCCTTCTAGATAACAACTTCTGTAGGAATAGGTGATATGTATGTATGTATGTATGTATTTATTTATTTATTTATTATTTCAATTTATATGCTGCTACCATAACCATAACCAATGATTGAACTCCTTGTGTGGTTTACAACAATTAAAACAACAATATTCTAAAATTAACAATAGTAAAACCATTAACAAACCATCAGTAATACAAAAACATAGCCCAACAAATTAGAAAATTATA